CTCCTTCTTCGTGTATACCCACTTACAACCAATTACCTTCCGCCCCTTTGGAAGCTCAACTAGCTCCCATGTATCGTTCTTATGAAGAGACTCCATCTCCTCCTGCATAGCTACCTGCCACGAATCAGCCTCTGAACTCTGCTCGGCTTCTCTGAATGTAGTAGGCACTATCTCATCGATACTCTCCACCGGAAGTGTATACGCAACTGTGTCAGCATACCGTGTTGGCATCTATATGTCTCTCCTCTGTCTCCGAACCATAATAGAATCCTGAACCTAAACCGTCGGTCCCTGATCCTGCACATCAGTACCCGTATCCTCCGTGTCACCGTTGTGCTCGCCTGATGTCACCTCAGTCAGCACTCTAATAGATATTATATCATCTGGACAATGTGGAGCTGCATCGATCTCCACCACCTACGATATCTCCTTCGTCGGGTCACTCTCTACCTGATGAGAGCTGGAAAGCTTCAAGATAGAAGCCTCATCAAATGTGACGTCTCTACTCAGCATAATCTTCCTATCAACTGGATCCAAGCTTCAAGATAGAAGCCTCATCAAATGTGACGTCTCTACTCAGCATAATCTTCCTATCAACTGGATCCCAAAGCTTGTATCCCTTGACACCAAAATGTGACGTCTCTACTCAGCATAATCTTCCTATCAACTGGATCCCAAAGCTTGTATCCCTTGACACCATGCTTGAATCCTATAAATATAGCATTCCTAGCTCGAGGTTCCAATTTATCTTTTCTCACATGATAAAATATAGGGCACCCAAATACCTTGAGCTAGTCATAATCATGTGTTGACTCTCCCGACCACTTCTCCATAGGGGTTTTCCCCTCAATCATATATGAAGGCAGTCTATTAATGAGATGGCTCGTATATGTAAGTGTCTCAGCCCAAAAGATCTTCTCCAAACCACTCTGCGACAATAAACATCGGACCTTCTTTAGCAAAGATCAATTTAGCCTCTCTGCCACCCCCATTCTGCTGTGGTGTATGACTAACTGTGAAATGTCTCTCTATGCCCTCATCTCGACATAGCTGCAGAAAGGGGTCTGATGTGTATTCACCGCCGTTGTCGGATCGCAACGTCTTGATCTTTCTCCCAGTTTGCAGTTCCAATCTCTTCTTCCACTCCATAAACAATCTAGGACTTCATTCTTATGCTTCATGGTGTACACCCAACAACGTCTAGAATAGTCATCAACGAACGTGACGAACCAATATCGATCACTAAGTGATGTAGTCTTGGTGGGACCCCAAACGTCTGTGTGCACGTAGTCCAGGATGCCCCTCGTCCTATGAATGGTTGTCCCAAACTTCACCTTCGTCTTCTTACCAAGAACACAGTGCTCACAGAATTCTACTTTAACACTCTTGGCTCCCTTCAATAGTCCCTGCTTGCACAAAGCCTGCAGTGACTTCTCTCCTGTGTGCCCCAATCTATAATGCCAAAGCCTGCTCATGTCCGCCTCTGAAATAGCCAAAGCAACCTAGCCAACCTCGGTGCTCCCCTTCAGATAATACAAGTTCCGATTGCGGGCTCCCTTCATCACCACCAAAGATCTCTTAGTAACATTCGCTACAGCGTCTTCAAAGGTCACCTTGAATCCCTTCGCCTCCAAAGCTCCAACTGAGATAAGATTCTTCTTCAGCTGAGGAACGAATCCCACCCCCTTCAATTCATGGACTACTCCATCATGCATCCGGATCCGCACAATACCTATCCCACAAATGCCACAGGATTAATCATTTCCCATGATAATAACGCCCCCATCGAGTCTTTCGAACGATGCAAACCAATCTCGCCTAGGGGTTACATGATAAGTAGTGCTGGAATCAAGCATCCAATCTGATGCATCCAAGTGGTTCACCTCCGAAATAATCAGTAGAGAAAAGCTCAAATCATCGGAACCATCACCTTTCGCAATATTCACCTCATTGGCCTTCAGGATCTTTTTCTTGCCATTCTCCTTCTCCTTGAGCTTCAGGCAATCTCTCTTCTAATATCCCTGCTCCTTGCAGAATGCATATTGGTTCTTTGCTAATTGGTGGTGGCTTCTTGACTTTGACCTCCCTCTATTATCACCTTTCGGATATGGGCTTCTACCTCTCGTCGACAATGCCTCGCCTGAAGTACTAGCGCGGGAAGTCTCCTTATCCTTCCTCCTCAAACCGTAGTTCGTCAAAGCGTTAGTCACTTCACTATAGCTGATAGAAGATCTCCCATTTAATAAAGTGAGCACAAAGGTGTCATACTCCTCATCCGGTAAGGAACCCAATAAGATAATAGCCTTGTACTCATCCAAAATCTTCTCATCAACATTTGCCAAGTCCGACAACAACTTAGTATAGTTGTTCATATGCGCCGCTAGTGAGGTGCCTCTGAACATCTGGAATCTGAATAATCTACGCAGCAAATGCAACTTGTTCTCAACATTCTTCGTAAGGTACTTATTGTTGAGAATTTTCCACATCTTCATCACAGACGTCACCCCAATCACATCATATTTCAACTCATGTTCCAAACAAGACCTGATCATCCCACAAGCATTCCTATTCATCTTTTTCCATATCGCCTCTTCATATTTTGGTGGTCTTTCGTGGATCATAATGGTCTCCTCCAAGTTCTGAGCATTAAACGCATCCTGTACATCGCTCATCCACAAACCAAAGTTGATTTTACCATCATACTTCACCACACTAATTTTGGTATTCTGAAAACCAACTTGAACTGTACTCGTCATCGACTTGCTGCTTTCACCTTATTCTCCCATTGCAAACTAACTCCAAACTGCAAAGAAAGATTCAAACTTTAAAAGGAATAAGAAATTACCCAACTGAACCCTAGATTGGATTCCAAATAGAACTCCTAACCACACGAGGAAAGCGAGATCTTCAATGGCAACTTTAAATCATATCTCCACCGAAGCCTAGAACTCTAAGAACCAAGCTTCCAACTGAATCTTCCTCCACCTAATCCAAAACACCCTAGATCTGAAATCTGGGCTCTAATACCACTTGTTGCGCACAGCGAAAATTTCGGCAGCACCTTGGCAGCACCTCGGCACAACAATAGAGTTAGACCGCAATAAGAATTCTTGTTTCTCAAAGGGAACAAGAATCTGAAGCCGAATATCTCATCAAAGTGGGATACTAGCTCTTCCTCTCGTCAGTTCTAGGACTGCTTGTCAAGGGAACCTAAAAAGCTATTACAAATCACATAAATAGCGAGACAACTAATTTTACGTGGTCGATAAATTGCCTACGTCCACGGGGCAAGGAGGGGGAGATCTACAATTAAAGGGAGAGAATACAACTAGGGTTTACAATTACTCAATCTAAACCCTGACACAAACTCTCATATTCCTCACACAAAAACTCTCTCAAAAGGATGCACAAAACCCAAAAATAAGCCTCTGCCTTTTCTTTTGCACAACCGCACACGAAGAGTTTTCTCCAGCCACAAAAAACCAAGTCCTTGCACTTGCACTGCCGCTTTCTTTCTGCGTTCCCCTCTTTTGCACGCCCGAGGAACTCATGGAAAAAAGATATTTATAGGCTGTAGCTTCGTACTTAGGTGGGCCGCACGAGACTCCGCTTTCACAATTGCTTGTGGCCCCACCCGTAATTGCTGCTGCCTTTCACGCGGTTGCTTGTGCTCCGCTTCATTCACGTGTCCGCTAGCCCTCACCATGTCTCTCTCTCTCACTCTCACATATATATATATATATATATATTAATCCTCAATTCCCTCAAAAAAAGGTCCTCGGGATCATGACTTTGGATCATATGGTTACCTTACTGTATATATGCAGTGACATGCTCACTGTTGCGGTTTGCGGAGTGGACTTGTGTTCACACGATGCCGAAGCTTCTTATATGAACAAAATAACGTTTTCTCATATGGTTACCTTACTGTATATATGCAGTATCATGCTCACTGTTGGGGTTTGGGGAGTGGAGTTGTGTTCACATGATGGCGAAGCTTCTTATATGAACAAAGTAACGTTTTCTGTGTCGAGCGCCGGAGCTCTCCGTCCGTTATGGAAACCAATCGCGCCAATGATCTTCTTGTTGCATCCGCCTTGGTTAAAGCAGTATTTTATGTTCCATATTGGCGCAGTGGACGTGGAGGCATCCTCTTGTCATCGAAAGATGAGTGGTCAAACTTGATGCCAGAGTCGATCATACCGATTATTACACCTCGACCTGAATCTGGCCACAGTCCGTTCGACCGGCTCAGACCCAAAACTTCGGGCTGTACGTCGTTTGGAGTTCGCATTCGTGTTCAGGATACACACTTAGTACTCCTGGTTTAGATTTTGTCGCCTGCAATTACTCTGGCGTCAGATTCGCAATGAAGCCGCTGATAGCATGTCGATATGCGTAGACCATCCAAGGCTCACCAGAGTTTGAGGTTGTGTTTGGCAATGAAGACATACCAAATTTTTTTATCTCTAATGCTGAGGAATTTAGTGTGTTCGGGCTTGAGAATCTGTTGCGTTGCTTTCATGGATTTCAAAGAGAGAGAAAGACAGTAAGAAGGACAAAACAAAGGTTAGATGAGAGAAATTGACGAGCTTGTGAATCTCCTTTGAAGTGGACATAGGCTATATGGATTTATATGTGACCTTCTATAATTGGCATCAAAATTGCTTATCGCAGCTAGGAGAGAAATTGTGCTTTAGGAGAGAAAAGGTAGAAGTTGGCCAATATATAAGGCATACATTAGTAATACGAATTTGAATGGGAGTCCTCCACCTACTTGAAGAGAAATTTTCACAAATTTGTATATCGAAACAAAGTGATCGTTTGGATTTATCTGAAGATTTATATTATAATTTATATAGAGCAATGGACATTGCCATTTTCATGACATACTTCTTCTGTTATGATATCTGCAATACCCATTTCAAGACTATTATGTAAATGCACACCAAGTTCCATGTGTTTACTTACCTATTTTTATTTCAACAACTTTACGGCTCTTTGGGATCTCAGGTAAATGTAACTGCAATAGGACTCCTCACAAAATACTTGCCAGAATCCCATACCAGTTGCCCTTCTGAAACTTTGTCTGCTTTGGGTGGAACTCCTTGAATACTCAATGTCACAGTAAAATCTTGCTTTTCACCTTCATTAGTGAATGTAAGGGTAATGGGGGAAACATCCACATCCACTCCCTCTGGATTATCAACCTTCACCGTGTAAACCGAGTTAGCATCACCAACGTTCGTCACCGTTCGATTCACAGTCTTCGATACCGATTTAGCTCCGAGATACACCGAAATTGAAGGATAGTTCAATTGCTCAGGCTCAATAGCTTGAACTTGAGAACACACAATCGGGCCACGAGCAATTGTCGATACCTCCAAATCCGTAAGTTTCATCCCACAAAGGTATCGGATGTAATCGTGCGGGTCAATATCATATATCAGACCCGGATCATTAGCTGCCACCGGGTCGACATGACCCGCGCCCATCGTGAAAACTCCGGCATCTTTACCGTCATATTCATCTTTTATGGGATTACCGTCTTGGTCTTTGGTGTAGGCTGTTGTCATGATGGCTGATTTAATCGCAGCGGGCGACCAATGTCGATGATTGTGCTTGAGGAGAGCCACGATCCCTGAAACGTGAGGTGCAGCCATCGAAGTTCCACTTACCATGATAAACGTCTTATCCGTGCCTGTAGGATTCGGACCGACTTCAGTTGGCCAAGCTGCGAGAATGTTCGAACCGGGTGCAATAACGTCTGGCTTTATTATGTTACCGTTAAAGAGGTTAGGCCCTCGATTCGAAAAGGAGGACACTACAGGTGCAGGGCGATGTCCAAATTGCGTTCCGTTGAACTTTATCGCTGCGGTCGGATTTGATGCCTGGTCGACATAGTTTATAATTTCCAACGCGTCGTTGAAGGTAACACGAGAAGCTGGATGGAGAAAAGCATCGGAGTCCGTTCGATTCCCATCCACGGCTGGCTCATGACTATAACGGCCACGCCACCGGCCTTTTTAACGAGATCGCTGGCTTCCACATTCTCCTTATAATCCCCACTGGCTCCACACAGCACAATCTTACCTTTGACGTTGATCAATTTTAGAGAATTACCCCGGCATTTCTTCGAATCCTCTGATTTCAGGACGCCATATGGATAAATCAAAGGAAACTGAGTGGAAGGGAAGTTATCTGGCTGATAAGCCGATTCCCCATAGAATTCTCGGCCATCTCCGAGCTCTACTATTGATCTTACCCTTCTGTCCATGGCGCTCGACCCAACGGTTAGGATCCATGGAGCTCCATCAACTCTGCTTGGAAGAGGCCCATCATTTCCCGCTGCTTGAACAGGGAGGATTTTCTTTGTAACGGCCGCAAACGATCCGATCGCTACCTCATCCTCATCAAGTTTCATTGGGTCGGGATAGCCTAAAGACATAGAGAGCACATGTACCTGATCATGGATAGCTTGATCTATACCTTTGAGCAAATCTATAAAAGTCCCAGGCAATACTTTATAGACTGAAAGATGAGCTCCGGGCGCCAGGCCTGAAGCCGTGCCATTAGCGTAACCAAGGACATTAGCATCATCGACGGTGCTACCAGCTGCCGTGCTCGCCGTGTGGGTCCCGTGCCCGTCGTTGTCCGACGGAGAAACTATCCGTCCATTATGAAAACCAGTAGCTGCGATCAGCTTCTTGTTGCATCCGCCTCGGCTCCAGTAGCATTTTCCTTTCCAGGTCGGCGGTTGCGGAGGCGGTGACATCTGCTTGTCGTCAAACGAAGGGTGGCTGTACTTAATTCCAGTGTCGATCACACCGATTACTTGACCTGCACCGTAACCTGAGTCGGGCCACAATCCATTCCACCGGCTCAGGCCCAAGAACTTTGGGCTGTAGGTGGTTCGGAGTTTGCACTCGTAGTCAGGATGTGCACTCACTACTCCTTGTTTAGATTTCAGCGATTGCAATTCTTGGGGGGTAAAGATTGCAGCGAAGCCACTGATCGCGTGTCTATATGTGTAGATCATCCGAGGCTCACCGGAGTCTAAGGTTGTGTTTGGTAAGAAAGACATGTACCAATTTCTTCGGTCTCTGAAGGTGAGGGATTTGGTGTGTTTGGGCTTTTGTACATGGACAATGTAGGCTTGAGAATCTGTTGTGTTGCTTCCGTGGACTTCGTAGAGAAAGGAGAAGGCCAAGAAGAGCAGGAGAAAGGTTAGATGAGAGAAACTAATGGGTTTATGTATCTCCATTTATGTGTGGATATAGACCAATGTTGAAGACTGAAAACAGAGAATCGGGTTATATAGAATCAAGAACCAGTTCAGGTTCACAGTTATTTCAATATTTAATATATATTGCAATGAAGAGGATAATAAGCCGGGAGGAGGGATCCAATGTTTATAAAATTGTTGCTTTAGAAGAAAAGAATAAAAAATTAGAAATAATGCGTGTGCATGTATATAATAGGAGTCGTATATGCTATGCTTACGCTGGAAGAAGCATCCTATGAGTGAATAATGCAAGAACAATGAATGTTAACTATTTATTTTCTTTTAGTTAGGTTACGCTTTATAGTTCGTTAGAAACCAACTCAATAATTAGAAGCTAACTTTATTCTCGGCTTGATATAAGAAAAAAACCCCTTAACTTTGGATGATTACCAAATAACCTCCTATAACTTTCAAAGCAACAGCAACCCCGACAGAACCACTTTAGCTTCAAGATTTTATCAAAACCCCTATTGAAACGAGATTTTCACTGAAAAAAACATCCCACTGCCTAATTTCACACCTATGTATTCCTCTGCTAGAGCCTACAACAAAGCATCTCCCCTAACAAAATAAGAAAGAATTCGTCGCCGCACGAAAATGGTGTTGGATATTTATTAAGAAAAGGCAATTTTGTCTTTGTGTTTTAGTCCCACATCGGAAAATTGAAAAGAATTCTCTCTCCCTCAACCCTATAAATACACCCCTTTTTCACATTCTAAAAGATAAGAAAATAAACACTACCACATATTTGCTCTAACGCAACGGTTCAAAACCGTTGCGCTAGCCATGGAACCGTCGCCCTTGAGCAAGTGCGACGGTTCTCAAACCGCCTCATATGCTGCCGTTGCCCTAGCTCTACCGTAACAGTTTTGAACTCTATTACGACGGTTTTTGAACCATTGCCCCCGCATCTAACGCAACGGTTTTAAAAGGTAAGCGGTTTTTAAGCCATTGTAACAGTTTTGATTGAGCTATTGCGACGGTTTTTAAGCTATTGCAGCGGTTTTGATTGAGCTATTGCGACGGTTTTTAAGCTACTGCAACGGTTCTTTTAGATATTACAACGGTTTTTAAAGACCTAACGCAACGGTTTTAGTAGGCTAAAGCTATGGTTTTGATAGAGCTACGGCAACAGTTGGAGCTGTTGCAACAGTTTTAAAAGACCTAACGCAACGGTTTTAGTAGGCTATAAGTATGGTTTTGATAAAGCTACGGCGACAGTTGGAGCTATTGCAACAGTTTTAAAAGACCTAACGCAACAGTTTGGATTGAGCTATCGCAACAGTTTGGATCGAGCTATCGCAGCGGTTTGGATCGAGCTATCACAACGGTTTTAATCGAGCTATTGCAACTGCTCAATCGAAGCTGTTCTTGGTTTCCTACGTCAAAATAATTATAGTATTCAATTACCTAAACAATCTTTTTAAGAACATGGCCAAGTCAAATTTTAATACACAATATAAAAGTGATTTGTTAGATCTACATAAAACTTTAGATCTAAAACCATATAGCCATGATTAATTCGAAGAGATTAACAATAATCAAAAGAGCGGAAGCTTATACCTGAATCCATAGATGAACCTGAGATGGGTTTTGGATCTTCTAACCTTAGGGTTCTCTCTAGCCGAATTTCTCTCTCTAGATGGGGGTGAAGAGAATTAGAGAATGTAACCCTAGGTTAGGGATCATAACCCCTTATTTATAGATGTTGTACATTTGCAATTTGACCCCTCAACAAATCACAATTACAACCTGGTATCTGCACATATAACCTCATGACTTATTTAAATACCCAATTAACCCAAATTAATTGATCACTTTAGTGGGTTATCCTGAAAGATAGCAATACACATTGATTAATCATATGTGCCCACAAATAGATTTATTAGATTAAATCCAACAATCTCCCGCTTGGGCACCATATGATTCCTTAAATTATGTATAACCTTATGAGCTCAAAAATTGCTATCACTGAAAAGGTATTTCCGAACAATCTCGTCCATTGACTATATCAATATAGGATCAAAGCGGCCTTCGTCACATTTATCGTGACTCGACCCATCAATGGTCACATATACCAATACAATCAAACGACATAGATCAATCATGGATGTGCAGCATGAAAATTACATGCAATGTGATCAGTACATGTCTATTTTCAACTGGTCCTCCTTAGTGAGGTCAAAACCAAACATAATGTAACAGAGTGTCTTAACTGAATACTTTATTCTGATCAGACAATACAACCAAACATAAAGCACCACAAATACAAACTCCCACTAAAACATAATATCCTCAAATAATACCACACCCATATGAGCAGTATGCTCATGAAAGACCTTAGGTGGCAATCCCTTAGTAAGAGGATCAGCTATCATGGAGTTTGTCCCAATGTGCTCTATGGATATCTGTCCACTCTGTACCCTTTCTTTCACAACCAGGAACTTAATGTCAATATGTTTTGACTTAGTTGAGCTCCTGTTGTTATTGGAATACATTACTGCAGATTTATTGTCACAATATAGCCTTAGTGGTCTTTCAACATTTTCCAAAATGCGCAGTCCCGTGACAAAATTTCGCAGCCATATTCCCTGATTGGATGCCTCATAGCAAGCTACAAATTCTGCTGCCATAGTGGAGGAAGCTACTAGTGTTTGTTTGACACTTTTCCATGATATAGCTCCTCCTGCTAACATATAAATGTAGCCTGATGTAGACTTCCTGCTATCTTGGCATCCAGCAAAATCAGAGTCCGAATACCCAATGACCTCTAATTTCTCTGATTTTCTGTATGTGAGCATGTAATCTTTTGTTTTCTGAAGATACCTCATAACCCTTTTGACTGCTATCCAATGATCCATACCAGGGTTGCTTAAGTATCTGCCTAACATCCCAACAATGTACGCAATATCCGGACGCGTACATACCTGAGCATACATTAGACTTCCTACAGCCGAAGCATAAGGAATCTTCTGCATTTCCTGAATTTCAAGGTTACCTTTAGGGCACTGATTGAGACTAAACTTGTCTCCTTTAGCAACAGGGGTGTCACCTGGTCTGCAATCTTGCATGCCAAACCTTTTAAGTACCTTATCGATATAGCTCTTTTGTGATAATCCAAGAATACCCCGAGAGCGATCTCGATGTATCTGGATCCCTAATATAAAAGAGGCGTCCCCAAGATCTTTCATCTCAAAATTCTTTGATAGAAATCTCTTGGTTTCGTGCAACATGCCTATATCATTAGTGGCAAGCAAGATGTCATCGACATACAGAACCAGAAAAATATACTTACTCCCACTGAACTTGTGATATACACAGTCATCAACAATGTTCATCTCAAAACCGAACGAGATAACTATTTGTTGAAACTTATGATACCATTGACGAGGAGCTTGCTTGAGTCCATAGATGGATTTCCTTAATTTGCAAACCATATTCTTTGGGTCTCCTGACACAAAGTTTTCTGGTTGCACCATATAGATCATCTCATCAATGTCACCATTGAGAAATGTAGTCTTAACATCCATCTGATGTAACTCAAGATCAAAATGAGCAACAAGTGCCATGATTGTTCTGAAAGAGTCTTTCGATGAAACCGGAGAGAAAGTCTCTGTATAATCAATGCCTTCCTTTTGAGTATAGCCTTTAGCCACAAGACGTGCCTTATACCTCTCCACATTACCGTTTGCATCCCGCTTGGTTTTAAAAATCCATTTACAACCAATTGGTTTTGCACCTTCTGGTAATGGGACAAGTTCCCAAACCTTATTGTCTTGCATAGACTTATACTCTTCATTCATGGCATCAATCCACTGTTGAGAGTTAGAACTTTTCATGGCCTGAGAGAAGTTGATTGGATCATCTTCTAACATTCCATTACTTTCCTCATGTTCTTGAAGAAATACAATATAATCATCCGAAATAGCATTTCTCTTTTCTCTCGTGGATCTCCTTAATGGCACTGGTTCTTGAGGTTGTTGAGTTTGTTCTTCTAGAACAGGGAGTTGTTCAACATTATCATCTTGAGGTTCCGGATTTACTTCTTGAGCAACAACAGGTATAGGAACCTGAATATTGTCAAAAGTAACTGTATGGATTGGATCTGAAGCCAATTCCTCCTCAAAACTAATGTCTCTAACCTTATTTCTCCCCCCAAACTCAACATCCTCAAAGATTCCTCCTCAAAAGCAATGTCTCTAACCTTATTTCTCCCCCAAACTCAACATCCTCAAAGAATGTTGCTGTTCCCGTCTCAAAAATATTCCTTAGTGTGGGATCATAAAACTTATAGCCCCTAGAGCGTTCAGAGTACCCAATAAAGTAGCTGCTAACTGTTTTGGAGTCCAATTTTTTTTCATTCGGCCTATAAGGCCTTGCCTCAGCTGGACATCCCCAAATATGTAAATGCTTTAAACTGGGCTTTCGACCAGTCCAAAGCTCATAAGGTGTTTTAGCAACTGCTTTACTTGGTACTCTATTCAGAATGTAAGCTGCTGTCTTAAGTGCTTCTCCCCAGAGTGACTCTGGTAAAGAAGAATGAGCAATCATACTTCTTACCATATCCTTAAGAGTCCTGTTTCGTCTTTCAGCTACACCATTCATGCTAGGTGAACCCGGCATAGTGTACTGTGGGACGATACCGCATTCCTCTAGGTATCTAGCAAATGGTCCTGGACGTTGTTCACCTGAACCATCATATCTACCGTAGTACTCACCACCACGATCAGATCTGACGGTTTTAATTCTTCTGTTGAGTTGATTCTCAACTTCAGCTTTATAGGCTTTGAACATGTCCAGAGACTCAGATTTTTCATGAATAAGATATAGGTGCCCATAACGTGAGTAATCGTCTATGAATGATATAAAATATTGTTGACCATTCCAGGATTCCGTAGGGAATGGCCCACAAATATCCGTATGTATCAATTCTAAGACATCCGAAGATCTGTTGGCACCTAATCTCTTCACTTTGGTCT